GGATGTGGGGAAAGCACATCCTGCTGGCATTTCCAGTGCTCTCAGGGGCGCCCTCTGCTGCCTCTTCAGCCTCTGTGCCTGAAGCCAGCAAGGAGACAGACCCAGGCCCCCAGTGGCCTCTGCAGAGGCTTCCTTGAAACTCTTAGGTTGCAGGATATTGATCACACTGTGAACCTCAAAATTGCATTATTTACTGGAATAACCTGTTCTGGTTGTGGTGTGGCTAACCCTTGCACACACTTTAATCCAAGTGCTTTCTGCTGGAATATTGTAAACAAGATTAAACAAAATCAACCATAGGTCAAGAGGTGTAGCAAGCAACCAGTTGACAGGAAGTGAACATAGGAAAAAAAACCCATAGAGAGTAAGAGGGAGTCAGGAGAACAGATGGAGAGACGTACAGGAAGTAGAAGGGAGAGACATCCAGTTTGAGGGTTTTTGTTTGAGAGGGAAGCAGAGGAGGGAGGGAGTTTTCTCAGGGACATTGGCTGAGGAGGAAGTCCAGCTGAGTGCTCTCTCTGCCTCTCTGAGCTGGCAGGCTTCACCCCAGCATTTGGTTCCCTTTATTGGTGTCTTTATTGGTATAAATCGAAGGATTGAGATTTAGTTAAAAACACCCTTCTTTTTTTTACATTTATTTGTTTGTTTGTTTTGGCGGGGCAGGCAAATACATGCATGTGTGGAGATCAGAGGATAGCTTGCTGGGCTTGAATTCTAAGAATTAATTTCAGTTTGTCTGTTCTGACAGCAAGCACCCAACCACTGAAGCCCTCTCTCACCCCGTTGGTTTGTTCATGGTATTTGGGCCCTTCTGGTTGTGCAGGGATGGAATGCTGGTCATGTGGGATCTGGGACACTCCAGCCTCACTGGAGGCCAGCAGTCCCCAGGTTCTTCTCTAAAGTGATGATGGGGTTGACACCAGGGTGTGGAAAATGAGGCAGGAGCAAGAACCCAACTCAGGTGCAAGATTCAAGGGGATGAAGCAAAAAAAACCACATCCATCAAGACAGAATCTTTATCGAAGTGATAATCACATGAAGTGACCCACTCGGAAAGGTAAAGGAATGGTATTAAGGACATAATCAAGATTTTGTATCCCCCCAAAAAAGCCCACCCCAACTGACTCTTGTCCCTTATTGTTCGCTGTCCTGGCCTCTAGCAGTTTGCCTTCTGTTTCTACCAATCTGCTATTCTGGATGATTGACATATACCTGATGATGATGATGATGATGATGATGATGATGATGATGATGATGAATGTGGTGGTGGTGGTGGTGAAGTGTGTCATTTTGTGCCTGATTTCTTTCAGTTAGCCTCAACACTGTGAACCCTCCAACTCTTAGCTCCTTCTCCAGCACACTCTCTGCTTGCACATCACCATATCCCACCATGGTGACAATGGACTAAAGCTCTGAAACTGTAAGCCACTCCAATGAAATGTTTTCCTTTATAAGAGTAACTGTAGTCACCGGGCAGCTGTGGGCCCATGCCTTTAATCAAAGCACTTGGTAGGCTTAGGCAGGTGAATCTCAGAGTTCCAAGCCAGTCTGGTCTACAAATTGAGTTCCAGGACAGCTAGGGCTTCTCAGAAAAACCTGTCTAGAAAAACAAACCAGACACAGAGTTGCAGTGGTCATGGTGTCTCTTCTCAGCCTTAGAAACCCTAACTAAGACAGAAGTTGTACCAGGGGCTGGAACATTGTTGTGATAGGCCTGATCCTGCTTTGGTTTGGAGGAATTAGGACTTTGAGAGTTTGGGTTAGTAAAGCAGTAGAATGCTTTAAGTGCTGCTTAATAGGCCATACTAGTAGGAAGATGGAAGAGACTGGTACTGAGGGTTATTTGAACTGTGGGGGCTGGCTGAAGAGGTTTCAGAGGAGAAAAAATATTCATATGTGTCCTAGAGGTTGTTCTTGTGATATTTTGCTGAAGAACAGCTTGGCCGCTCTTTGCTCTTTTCCAAAGAGTCTTCCTGAGGCTAAACTCAAGAGTTTGGATTAATTCCATTTTAGGGGAAATCTCAAAATAGCCTTTTATGGACTCTGTTGTGTGATTATTAGTGATCATTTCCATGCAGATCTACCATGAAAAGGAGCAAGCTGAGTAAATAAAAATACAAATTGTATTAAGAAATGGAATAAAGAGCCTGGTGACCTCAGGGAAAGTTCCCACCCAGTTGAATTCCAACTTGTGAAATGAATTAAAAATGAATTAAAAGCTTAGAGCGGGGTGTGGTAGTGCATGTCTTTAATCCCAGCACTCCAGAGTCAGAGGAAGGCAGATCTCTGAGTCCGAGGCCAGCCTGGTCTACAGTTCCAGTTTCAGGACAGCCAAGCTCAGGCAGTGAAGGTAATAATCAAAAGCAGAATGCAGGTGAAGATTGACTTGAACAAGGGGACCACATTCCAACCCAAGCAAGCAGCAGAACTTGGGAGCTTCAGCCCCGAGGTTCTGGCTTTAGAGTCAAGAATCCAAGAAAGGGGTCATGGAATTTGCCTCTGCATGTACGGAAAGCTGGTCCTCTGCAAGAGCAGCAAGTTCTGTTAACTACTGAGTCATCGCTCCAGTCCTAAGAGTTCTTTAAAGATCCTGGCCTTTATCTAATACACGATTTGCAAGCATTTTCTCCCCTTCTACAGATTATTCTTTCTTTCCCTGACAGTGCCCTTTGATTCAGAAAATACGCTAATTTAGTGACTATCTACTCATCCATTGTATTAGTGGTGGATGTTTCAGTACTGTCAACCCAAAGACATTAGAATTACTTCCAACGATGTTTGCGGTTAAGAGTAGTA